AAAGGCCTGGTGATCTACTCACAAAAACTCAGCCATTGAAAACCCTATGGAGCACAGTTCAACTCTGACACACGTGAGTTGGAATCCACTCAATGCAACTGGTTAGGTGGATGACAGACTGTCAGAGATGCGACAGAAGAAAGTCTCCTAGTGGAGGGAAGACTGGTCAAAGCCGAGGGTCCTTTCCAACCTGAAGAATTAAGGCTTTTGATCAGTATGTCAAAGACTGATTTCTCATCTGAGCTTCCCTGTATTTTTCAGCTTCCCTGTATATTTGGACCTACCTGTATGTGCCTGCCTGTGTGCTCCTGTTTTGGCAGTTTTCTCCCTCACTAGCAATTCTGCCAAAGAATTGGCATGAGAATTAAAAGGAGTTGCAACTCTCATGAGGCAGTGTATCTGCTTTGCCACAAGAAGGATGAACTTGACTCTACAGTCTGCGGTTAGGTTTGTAGGATCGGTTCTCATTTCCATCATCTCCACTTTTCCTGCCTCTTCTTCCCACTGACCACCCAGCGCCGGCAGTATTGCATTTGCACAGTTTTTCCTTTGGATGTCCGTGTAAATGCTAACATTCCAAAAACAATCATTTCATAATATTTGCCTATTTAGAGATGAAGGCACTTGGAAGTGTTTTAGCTTTTATGTTAACTTGCAAAGCATCACATATTGGAATTTCAGGCATCCTGTTCTCTGCTCAATAGCTAGATGAGAAAGGTGGACTACTTTTTGCCTTTGTTCCAGGTCCTTTTGTTTAGTTAATGCTCATGGCCACACTGCAAGGATTGTCCTTATATGGAGGACCGAATGGGGAATGTGCAATGGAGCCCAAAGCCCCTGTGCACCAGAGCAGTAGGGCCAAGTCCCTCAGGAACATTCTAGAGCAGGTTGGCTCACACGATGATCTCCCCTGTGTCCTTCCCTCCAAGAACGGCCCTCCTGGGGACAGTAGCATCTCCTTTATAGCATGGGATGGCACCTTTCTCTGCCAGAGTGACAGACGAAGAGAACAGGTGGATCTGGGCAGGTGTCGGAGGTTGACTGGACAAGACTCAGTAGTTATTTGAATAATAAGTTAAGGAAAAGTCTAGGATAGCCCTTGGGTTTCTGTCTTTGGGTGATGAGCTGATCTTGTAGAAAGATAGTGAGTCTGAATTTGTTTATTTTGAGATGCCTACAGAATGCTCTGTAGAGATACTGAGAAGGCCGTTGAAAATTCCTATCTGTGGTTCAGGAGAGGCATCACAACTGGATATATAGATCCAGCAATCAACAATGTGAAGGAGATCATTGGAACTGGGCAGAAGAACACAACGAGCCCAAAGACAGAACCTTTAAGCATTAGGCCTGGTGTCTTAGTCAGGGTTGTCCAGAGAGACAGAACCAATAAGGTGTTCATATATGTGTGTGTGTGTGTGTGTGTGTGTGTGTGTGTGTGTGTATATATATATGTATATATATATATACGTGTGTGTGGAGAGAGAGAGAGATTGAGAGAAAGCGAGAGAGAGACTGCTTTATTTTAAGGAATTGGCCCACATGATTGTGAGGGCTGGCAAATCCAAAATCTGTAGACCAAGCTGGCTGGAAACTCCAGCAGGTTGTCCATGTTATAGTCTTGACGCAGAATCCTTCTCCCTTGAGAAACCTCAGTTTTTGCTCTTAAGGCCTTCAACTGATTGGATGAGGCCCACCCCCATAATGGAGGCTAATCTGCTTTCCTTTAGGTCAGCTGATTTAAAGGTTAATCACATGTGGTGGGGCAGTGGTTAAGCGCTTGGCTGCTAACTGAAAGGTCGTTGGTTTGAACCCACCAGCCTCTCTGCGGGAGAAAACTGTGGCAGTCTACTTCTGTAAAGATTTACAGCCTTGGAGACCCTATGGGGCAGTTCTGCTCCATCCTACAGGGTCGCTGTGAGTCGGAATCCATGCTATGGCAGCGGTTTGTTTTTTGTTTTTTTAAATACCTTCAGAGCAACATCTAGACTTGTGTTTCACCAAACAACTGGGCACCATGGCCTAGCCAAGTTGACACATAAAACCAACCCTCACACCTGGGAAGGAGATCTCGCAAATAAACTGAGGAAGAAAATGCAGAGAGTGAGAAGGCAAGCTTGGTGAGAGCAGTGTCCCCGAAGCAAGGTGGCACAGTGAGGACACGGTGGCCAGCTAAAGAGCAGTGTCCCCAAGGCAAGGTGGCACAGTGAGGACACGGTGGCCAGCTAAAGAGCAGTGTCCCCGAGGCAAGGTGGCACAGTGAGGACACGGTAGCCAGCTAAAGAGCTGTGTTCCTGAGGCGAGGTGGCACAGTGAGGACGCGGCGGCCAGCTAAAGAGCAGTGTCCCCGAGGCGAGGTGGCACAGTGAGGACGCGGCGGCCAGCTAAAGAGCAGTGTCCCCGAGGCGAGGTGGCACAGTGAGGACGCGGCGGCCAGCTAAAGAGCAGTGTCCCCCAGGCGAGGTGGCACAGTGAGGGCGTGACAGCCAGCTAAAGAGCAGTGTCCCCAAAGTGAGGTGGTACAGTGAGGGCATGGCAGCCAGCTAAAGAGCAGTGTCCCCAAAGTGAGGTGGTACAGTGAGGGCATGGCAGTCAGCTAAAGAGCAGTGTCCCCGAAGTGAGGTGGTACAGTGAGGGCGTGGTGGCCAGCTAAAGACCAGTATTCCGGAGGCGAGGTGGCGCAGTGGGGATATGGCGGCCAGCTAAAGAGCAGTGTCCCCGAGGCGGGGTGGTACAGTGAGGACACGGTGGCCAGCTAAAGAGCAGTGTCCCCAAGGTGAGGTGGCACAGTGAGGGCACAGCAGCCAGCTAAAGAGCAATGTCCCCGAGGTGAGGTGGCACAGTGGGGACACGGTGGGCAGCTAAAGAGCAGTGTCCCCGAGGCGGGGTGGCACAGTGGAGACGTGGTGGCGCCGGGGAGGCATGAGGTCTGAGAAGGGAGCCTGGTTGTCCCTTCAGGGGTTGTTTGCCTGGAGGGCCACAGATGCCTGAGAAGTGAATGGAAGGTGACAGTGTGAAGGGGTAGTGGGCTTCTTTAGGAGGGCGGGGTAGGCAAGGGCCTCAGAGCATGGGGTGTGATGGAAGCGAAGGGACAGGGGAAGAGGGTGTTTCTTGTTATTTTCTTCCTTCCTTCCCTCCGTTTCTCTCTCTCTCAATGGGAAGACTTCAGCACATTTCTTGGAAGGAAGAAACCGTTGAGAGGGGCTGATTAAATACTCAAAGAAGGCAGTTCTCCTTACCCGTTGCTACACTTCATGCGCAGAGGTGCCGCTCTTGCTGGCTTTGTGCTTTTGGGTAATAGTGGTGAAGAGATGGACGAATCAGACAGTCAAGTCAGGGTGGTTTTTGAGATCTTAATAGACACAATGGTACGTTGGATCCCAGATGCACAGAAAGGGTTGTGGTAAAATTGCTAATAAAAACAATATGAAATGCCTCACTTTTTTTTAAGGTACTGTCTAATGGATTGTGACTCATAACGACCCCGTGTGACAGAGCAGAATTGCCTCATAGGGTCTCCTAGGCTGTAATCTTTATGGGAGCATATTGCCAGGTGTTTCTCCCACAGAGCGGCTGGGTGGGTTTGAACTGCCAGCCTTTCAGTTAGCAGCCTGGCACTTAACCGTGTGCCACCAGGGCTCCTTAGAAATGCCTTAGATACCAAGTTTTAGTGCTATTATTTAATTCTCACAACAACTTTGCAGGGTAGATGTTGTTATTCCCGCTTTATTGAAGAGAAAGTCAGTGCTCAGGGAAGTTTCGTGACTTGTCTGAGGCCCCACCCCTGGTGTAAGCCCGAGGTGCAGTTGAACTTGCATTGTCTAAGTGCCTGGCCCCTTCCTGATTCAGCAGACTGTCACTGCCCTGTGGGCTGCTCTGTGCTCTTCCGTTCCTGCTGGACAACACAGCTGCTTGGAGTAGCAGACGGGTCCAAGTGCAAAGGTGGGGTTCCTGCAGCACTCTGCTGTCATGATTGCACAGCACGTGGCTTAGAAGGACGCGTGGTCGTGTCCTGACCAGGAATAAGGGCATGGGATGTGACGGCGATCAGGGTGCATACCCATCACTGTGTGGTGGCCAGGTCTCCATGAGCTTCTCTGGAGACCTGAGCAGGTACCCCTCCACCCCCCACCACTCGTTATAAGTCCCCCAAAGGCAGTATCCAACTGGTAGACAAGGCTGCGTGCCTCACTCCATGTTCTTGCTCTGAAAGGGCCTGTCGGTGCTCATGCGGGGTTGCTGGAATCGATTTTACCAGGTGGATTTCTTTAGCAGTGGAGTGCCAGGTGCTGACACCCTGGGTGAGATGCTCACATGTAGACGCTGTGGAGGAAGGCACCTAGCAACAGGAGCAAGTCTGTCGGAGAATTGTAATGGGAGACACTGTTAGAGGCATTCAGTTAAGAAAAGGAAAAGTGATCCATTACTGTGTTGTTATTTTCTTCTTGAACCAAAAACCTGCTGCCATCAAGTTGATTCTGACTCAGGGCAACCTCACAGGTTTCAGAGTAGAGCTGCGCTCCATAGGGCTTTCAATGGCTGGAATCTTACAAAAGTAGATTGCCAGGCCTTTCTTCTATGGCGCCACTGGGGGGGTTCGAACCGCCAACCTTTCATTTAGTAGCCAAGAGCAAACTGTTGGCCCCACCCAGGGACCTCATTCTTCTAGAACAAGAGCTGCCAATTCTGGGGTGCACAAAAAAGAAAAGAAATGAAAGCAACCCCTCAGCAGAGGACTCCTGTCTGGGGAGCGACTGGCGCCCAGTCACTTGGTTGGTGGCTGCAGCGGCAGGACCCAGTGTTCCCGAGGTCAGCGTGTCCCTCAGAGTGCATCACGGGGTGACGGGCTGCCCATCCCGGGCGCTGGGGTTGTCAGACACTCACCAGACAGGACAAGTCGTGAAGGAAAACCTTTCGGTGGGGAGTCGTGTCTTTTCCTTCGGGGACTCAGTCTCATGTGGGGCTGGCCTTTCTCTAACTCGCCCTCCTCGTCGTCCCTGCAGCCTTTCCGCTGTGCTCACTGCCATTACTCCTGTAACATTTCCGGCTCTCTGAAGCGGCACTACAACAGGAAGCACCCCAACGAGGAGTACACCAACGTGGGCACCGGGGAGCTGGCGGCCGAAGCACTGGTTCAGCAAGGTGAGGGTCCCCCCCGCCCGCACCCCCTGCGCCCGATGCCTCCTGGCCGGCGTCCCAGGTGAAAGAGCTGCTGGCATGTGATGGTTCAGGTGTGACCTGTGAACGATGAGTGTCATTGGTTCTTCATCGTAATGATTGTGGTCCTCGTCCTCCTCCTTGTTGTTATGTATCTCCATTACTCCCTGCCTGGATAATACTATCATAGCTTTAATGAAAGTCTAAAATTAAAGAAGTAAAGACGTACCCATAGATTACAGCCCCCCCCACAACGTTCTTTGTTCAGTTTGCCTTGCTGAAAGTTCATGGTTTACCTTCTTTGCTTACCATTGTAGCGTGAACATCTTCTTTTATTTTGGAAATTGCCCTCCTGATGATGTTATTATTATTTATATTATATTATTATTATATTATTTATATTATTGTAATACGACATTGAGTGGAAGTTCCCCACTTTATTTAACCATCCTTCTGTTGTGGCACTTTCTTTCCAGATTTTTCTTTTTTCGCAATTATAAATAGTGCTATGGTAAGCATACTGAGAGGTGAGCTTCTTTGGATTATCTAAAAACATTTACTGCGTACTCAGATTACTTATTCATCCTGAAAAAGAAAAACATTTTAGAGCATTTAAACTAATGAGAATGGATGAAAATCTCTAATATTATTGAAGAATGTTTTTTTTTTTTTTGCTTTTATCAAGAATTAAGTATTCCCACTTGGGAGGGCTTAGCTCCTGTGCCGTTACCGTACAGAGAAATGCTGCTGTATTTATATCTGCACTTTGGTATTCAGCTGAAAAATGATTGCAGTATACCGTGTGCTGGCTGCTGCTTGTTCCCCAGCCCTGTGACTGTTTGAAGCAGAGACAGTTTTAGAATTCAGCCCCCAGTAAACAGAGATGAGAGACTGGAAACTCTGCTGCAGCTGGAGAGGCTCAGAGTGTTCCTGCTGGCGGTGATTGCCACAGAACGCTTCTTAATGTAAAACAAATGAATTGACTGTATCCTTCAGCACATTCAGTGACAGGGATGATGTGCAGAAATAGATGCGCAGCATAAAAAGCTCAGGATAATTTTAAAGCCATCCACCCGGGGTAGGGAAGCGTGTGTGCCTTGTGGCTTCTTTCCTGGCGGTTTGAGGAGCTAGAGAGCAGGATGGTGCCGTGGAGAGGGCTCTGGCTTGAACGTGCTTTCTTCCGTAGCTGTGCCCACTTGGGCAAGCCACCTAACCTAACCACCTCTCTGCCTTAGGCCCTCACCTGCACAGCGGTGTTCACAGCAGCCACCGCACGCGACGGTTGAGAGGATTAGGCCAGAGAGACCAAGCATCCGGCATTCAATAAATTTTTACTCCTTTTTTTTCCTGAAAAAATCTGAGACTCCTGTACCCATTGCATTATTCTGGATGACTTCCCTGTCCCAAAATCACAGAAGAATGCATAGATTTGCTTAGATGCCCAGTAAATAGCTGGAGTGGAGGGCTACAGAGGCCTGGTAACAGCCTTCACACTCTTGGGCCGGGTTGGCAGGAAATAGCCGTTTACTGTGGCTGTTGGACCAGCGCTGGGGATCTGATGGATGATACTGTCGCTGCTCTGTTGCTTCCAGACTTTCATCATGGCCTTGCAAACAATGTGCTGGGGTTGAACTGTTTCATGCCCTTAGCTTTCACCTAACTTCCTAAGACTGTCTATCATCAGCCGGCATTTCCTGACCAGGTCTTGGTTTTACTTTTTAATCCGTAATCTTCGCAAAGGGTATTCTTGGTCGTCTTCTTTCAGACATACGTATCCAAAACCCACCCATTGCCACCAAGTCGATCCCAACCCATAGTGACCCTACAGGACAGAGTAGAACTGCCCCCCACCTAGGGTCTCCAAGGCTGTAATCTTTATGGAAGCAGACTGCCACATCTTTGTTCTGTGGAATGGCTGTTGGGTTTGAACTGTTGACTTTTGGTTAGCAGCTGAGCGCTTAACCACTGCACCACCAGGGCTCCTTAGACATATATAAAAAACCAACCTCACTGCCGTCTAGTTGATTTCCACTCATGTATATATTTATTTGGATATCCCCCCTTCAAAGAGACAGCTTTTATGGCATTGGCTCTTAAGGGACCTTGTGCCGCTGTGGCTGGCAGGGGCACAGTGTCTAGGATCAGAGAGCTGGTTGCGTATAAACACAGTTTAGTGATCTCAGAAGTACAAAGCCCATGCTGTTCTCATGCCTCGAAGAGGGAAGGAGAACGGAGGGAGAGAATGAGACCAGATTAAATTACTGGGTTGGAAATGCTGAACTCTTTGGTGCCACTGGAATTTTTCATTTTCTTTTGATTAATTTCAAACAATTTTCCCCACCTCCATTTGATTTCTTTTCCCCCCTCTACTCACTCCCAAAAAAGGTCTTCATGGGGTTTTATAATTCCTTGTTTTGCTGTTGAGGGATAGGTATTAAAGTAAGGCCGTAATAATAAAAAAATCATGAAAAATGTTGTTCTCCTAAAATGATACTACACTATCCTTAAACCAAGTGCAGAGTTTAAACACGATCAACCCTGTTCACACAGAGAGTGTCCTACTGTGACGTACGCAGAGCCGTCCATTGCTGGGGCAGATTCTCTTGTTCATGGTGCCACAGGGGATTCTGAGACGGGTGTCAGTGGACAGCAGCTAGAGGAGGTAGGGAAGGCAGCCCAGCAGGAGCTGAGATTTTCCCAGATTGGACATGTCTGTTCTTTGTGGGTTCCTGAAAGAAGTTACCACGGCATTTACCGTGGAGTTTGAATTATTTTCAGTGGGTTCCAGAAGCTTGCTGGGAATGGTGGCTGCTCAGGCTTACCCAGTGGTATGCTGTAAACATCTAACAACTGGCTTTCGGTGGGGATGAGATGCGGGCTCTGATTTAGAGCGTCTTCTAATTTCTGTGGTGTAAATATTCCCATCATGGCCAATTTTAAGCTACAGACGCCACATCACTGCCCGTGGAGTTGGGAAGGCACGTGCACAGACAGTTCGCGAGCTCTTACAGCTGGCTTCAGCACACTCTGGCCCTGTGGGCACGTGGGAACACCACCTGGTCCCTGTCAGCCAAGCCCCTTCAGGAAGCTCCCACTCCCTCAGGATTCTGGTCCCTTTCAGCAACTAGAGTTATACTGAGCACTGTGTATGTGTTTCACTGCCTGTTTATATTTTTTGTACGTCTGATCATTTGGGGGCAGATTGGTCGGATGACCTCTTGTTTATTCCTCTTTGCTCATCACTTGTTCATTAATTTGGATTCAAGTCCGTCTCCCACAAGAGTGCACATTTTCATGTTTAAGGAAGGCAGACTGTGTTGCTGCCGTGTACCTGCCCCTTTCCTCCCTTTAAAATATGCCCCATTAAGCTAGCTTCAGATCTGGCTCAGTAAATCTCAGGTTGTGAGGGCCAGAAGGTGCTTCGATGCTAAGCTTTTCCAGTTATTAGCTTCTTCCTGCAGCTCATAGCGGGATAAAGGTGGGGCTTAGGGGACTGGTCATTTTCCAGTGGCCACAAGACACTCCCTCAAGTCACTCAAGGTTTTTGAAATGAGCACAGGGGTGGGAGTCAGATGAACCTGGGCTTGGGTCTCTGATCACTGCTGCCCTTGGGCCAGTTATGTAACTTCTCTGAACCTCAGTTTGTACGCCTTCAAGGAGCAGGACTCCTGTGTACTCACAGTGGTTGCAAACATTAGGTATTATTCACTGAGATTCCCAGACAGTGCCTGACATGTGGTAAGTATGCTTGATAAATGGTTCAAACTTAGTACAGTAAAACCTTCCAAAGCTGGAAACTGCGTAAGGCGGAAACCTGTCAGAGAAGGAAAACTCAGACATTTCCCAGTAAAACAAGTGATCGAATGGTGGTGAGGCTGCTCCCTGTCAAAGACGGAAAACCTGCAAGACCCGGAAAGACAAGGCAGCCCCGCTGGGTTCCGGCTTTCACAGGTTTCACTGTATTATGTTTGCTAACGTGACCCCTCTTTCAGTACGTATCTCTCAAGCTCCTACAGTGTACCCAGCACTGGAGGATGGTGTCGGACAAGGCGATTCCATGGGAGCACATTATTATTACCGCTGAGGGTGGACGAAGGCCGGGCAGCCCTCCCCAGCCTCTGTGTTCTGACCCTGTAGCAGGAGAACCCCGTATTCCTTTCACCGGCACCCTCGTTGCTCACAGGAGGAGAATTAATTGGTTCTCCCATGGAGCTAACCTTTCTCAGACGCCCCCAATTTGAGAGGGTCCCTGGTGCGGGGGTAGGTAGGGTACTGGAGATCAGAGAAACTATGCAAGGAGGAGGGTCAAGGAAGAGGCTGAGTTTTTGGCACCTGCTAAAACCTTTGATATGTTATTTTGAGCTACTGTATCAGAATGTAAATACATGTACGTGTACCTTGGTGTTTATATCTTAATTTTACACACTAGATTCAGGGAACGTTAGTATCACAGAAAATCCAGTAACTGTCAGGTAACACAGCAGTCAGTTATTTGATCTGGGGACATTTTAATTTTGAAACTGTTTTTATTAGGGCCCAGATTCAATAAATTATTGGTAGATGTTTCCCCGAAGGAAGTGTTATGTCACTGATTGGTTGTTTGATGTGTTAATTTATTCCTCATAATCATCCCTGAGAGTGGCATCGTCATTACTGTTTTAAGATGAAGAAATGAAATGAAGACAGGGTCACAAAGCGAGATCACAGAGCTACTAAGTAGCCAAGCCAAACCCAACCTCCTGATTTGAGGCCGACGCCTTGCCCCTCACATGTCTGACGTCCCCTGTTCCTGCTTGGTTCTGAAGTGTGTGCTTGTTCAGGAGGAGGGCCGAGGAGAGGCAGGAAGAGGGCTAGCCCTATTCTAGGATACTTACTGGGTCACGTTGGCTGTGGCTGCATGATCACACATGGAAAGGTCACACATGGGGTGCTGCTTGTTGTTGGGTGCCATTGAGTTGATTCTGACTCGTAATGACCTCATGTGA